GAAGGAGGGAGGGAGAGAGGGAAGCAGGAGGGAGAGAGGGAAGCAGGAGGGAGGAGGAGAGGAGCAGGATAGAGGGAAGGAGACTCAAAAAGGAGGAAAAAGGGAGAGAGTGAAGGAGGTAGTGAAGGGAGGAAGGGAGTGAAGGACGGAGAGAAGGAAGGAAGAGGGAGAGTGAAGGAAAAAGAGGTAGGGAAAGCGAGGAGGGAAATAGTGAGGGAATGAGAGAGAGAGAGGAGGGAGAGTGCTTCCTCATAACAGCATTCCTACGTGACGATGGGAGAGACTGTTGCTACTGATGCTGTTGCTGATGTTCCTTTCTCCACAGCGTATTCTCGATGTACTACTATTACTACTACTACTACTCCTACTGCTACTGCTACTCCTACTACTACTACTATTACTACTGCTACTGCTACCTACTACCTACTACTACTCCTACTACTACAACAGCAAATTCAAATTGTTTCTTCCTGGCATCTATCTTCACTACAGCAATTTCACGGATCAAATTTAATTTACCGATCTAGTTAAAAAAAAAGACTTAATTATATGCCAAAGGGAATTAAGTCGAAAATACAGGTGTGTGGGTAGACAGGTGGAGGTACAGGTGTGTGGGTAGACAGGTGGAGGTACAGGTGTGTGGGTAGACAGGCAAAGATACAGATGAGTGGGTAGACAGGTAAAGATACAGGTGTGTGGGTAGACGGGTAGAAATACAGGTGTGTGGACATACAGGTAGAGGTACAGGTGTGTGGACAGACAGGTAGAGGTACAGGTATGTGGACAGACAGGTGGAGGTACAGGTAGAGGTACAGGTATGTGGACAGACAGGTGGAGGTACAGGTGTGTGGGTAGACAGGTGGAGGTACAGGTGTGTGGGTAGACAGGTGGAGGTACAGGTGTGTGGGTAGACAGATGAGAGAGAGAGAGAAATACAAAGTTAGAACCGTGTCTGTTTTTCACTAAGGATTAACACACGGCTCCAGGGCACGTCTGGGTACGTGGCCCGTAGGTGTAAAATGAGAGGTAAGCTCTTTGGCATGAGTATGCATACACACATATATACACACACACACACACACACACACACACACACACAGAGACAGACAGAGGAGCTAAAACTCCTTGTCTTTCTAACAGACAAATTTTACTCCTACATCTTGAAACACATAATGATTCTAGTTTCATTTAGACTTTTGTGGCCTTTTTTTTCTTACATTTTTTCCTTTGATCTTCTGAGAACAAACAACGTGTGTGTGTGTGTGTGTGTGTGTGTGTGTGTGTGTGTGTGTGTGTGTGTGTGTGTGTGTGTGTGTGTGTGTGTGTGTGTGTGTGTGTGTGTGTGTGTGTGTGTAAATACACCTGGGGATAATAGTAAATTCTTCTTTTTCTTTCTTTAATTTATCGCAAAGGTGTTTGAACTGCAATTAATACATGTCTGTGTATAATATCAGGTCGAGGAATACACACACACACACTAGTGTTTCTGTTCACGCCCTCGTCTTATCCAAACCAACCACAGGCATCACCCACACCCACGCCTGCATCCTTCAACCCATATTTTACCTGTACATCCTCACATCCACACTCACCCACTTCATCCACACTTTATTTCTGCCGCATTCCACCCAGAAATGCCATTACCTATCTCTTAACACCGTAGTTACTCATCATCCAACACTCATCTACGCCGCATCCACCTCACTCCCAGCTCTATATCCCACACCCACTCCACACCCCCTTTCGGCGGCGCTCCAACAAACCCATCACTATAATAACTATCTCACTCACATCCAACCTCCTCCACAGTCATCCACTTCGACTCCAACATCATCCAACAACCAGTGATCCCCATCGCCGCCACCACCACCACCACCAACCTACCAACCCCCACCACCCCTACAACCAGCTCCTCACCACCACAACCAGCTCACCACCATCACGATCACCACCACCCTACCAACCTCCACCACCCCTACAACCAGCTCACCACCATCACCATCACCACCACCCTACCAACCCCCACCACCCCTACAACCAGCTCCTCACCACCACCACCATCACCACCATCATCACCACCACCATCCTGCAAGATGCACTAAATCTTTCCCCTCCCTCACCAACATCTTCCGGCAAATGTCAACAAGGTCACTAATTAATATCAAATACGGCGACAAAGAACGCCATCAAAGGCTCGCTAAACTTGCTACATTTAATTATTCGTGCGGCCCGGCTTACTAATTACACCTTGAGCCGATATCTACAGTGATTAGCGTTTCTCCAGAGCCTATAATTATAGTACTTGTATACCTGTGTGGGGGATATGTAATAATAATAATAATAATAATAATAATAATAATAATAATAATAATAATAATAATAATAATAATAATAACAAACATTTCCCTCATACAAGACCACTTTTGACCAACGATTAATTTATACAAAGTTTGGCGGCTTACTGTTCCAGTGGTTATTGTGTAGACGCTTGACGCAGGACTGACTGACTGACGATGATTCACTCACTCACCATCTGACGGAGCCACGAGCTTCAACTAAGTCTGATTACCAACCTGCAGGAGAGAAAACTTTGTTAGTTAATAATAATAATAATAATAATAATAATAATAATAATAATAATAATCCCTTGAGTACGATGACTTAACCCCTTGAATACGATGACTTAACCCCTTGAGTACAATGACTTAACCTCTTGAGTACGATGACTTAACCCCTTGAGTACGATGACTTAACCTCTTGAGTACAATGACTTAACCCCTTGAGTATGATGACTTAACCCCTTGAGTACGATGACTTAACCTCTTGAGTACGATGACTTAACCCCTTGAGTACGATGACTTAACCCCTTGAGTACGATGACTTAACCTCTTGAGTACAATGACTTAACCTCTTGAGTACGCTGACTTAACCCCTTGAGTACGAGGACTTAACCTCTTGAGTACGATGACTTAACCCTTTGAGTACGATGACTTAGCCTCTTGAGTACGATGGATAGTTTTATAAGAGCGAGTGGGAGTGAGGAGAGAGAGTGAGTGAGAGAGGAGAGAGAGAGTGAGAAGTCTTATGAGAGTGAGTGAGGGTGAAGAGAGTGCATGAGAGGTCTTATGAGAGGGAGTGAGAGGTCTTATGAGAGGGAGGGCGACCCAACATCCTGAAGGGAAAAGAATAACCAGTGAGCTCTTCTTCCCCCATCCTTCACCTCCTCGTTTGACAGACAGACAGACAGACAGACAGACAGACAGACGCATTATGAATCACTAACCGAAAGTCGAATATTTTGTTTTGTCTCTTAAGAAAATCAAAATCAACATTATTTAACCGGTCACACACACACACACACACACACACACACACACACACACACACACACACACACACACACACACACACACACAATCATTCCCAACCTCCTCCAAAAAAGGAAAAAAATCACAATAATGAGCAAAAATTTGGTTGCATCAGTAATTTGCCAGAGAGCGTCTGATACCTTCAAAGTGTCTTCTGTTGTTTGTGACGTCAGCTCGTTAGTCACCCTCGAGGCCTTTTAACTAATGACTCAACACACTCCTAACACTTCAATTATAAACTCTAAGGCTTTTAAATAGTGTTCGGAATAGAATGTAATAATGAGATTCTCTGTTCGGAATACACTATAGTCATTAGGTAGTTTGTTCAAGAGGATCACTCATGTTCAAATAATTAAAACAATACGAACACTTAAATCACACATTTGACACTTAATTAGGAACAAAGTAACACAAAGCAACACTTAGATCATTATGAAGACTTTAATCATAAACTTGGGAATGTGTTTTGGGTCATTGTAAGTAATTGCTACCAACTAGTATTTTCTACAGGTAAAGGTTTCAGGCACATTAATTTACGTTAAAGGTATACATATAGAGTAATAAGGAAGAAATTGCAGCTAATTACGAGTGATTTAATTAATGGATGGAGAGAGAGAGAGAGAGAGAGAGAGAGAGAGAGAGAGAGAGAGAGAGAGAGAGAGAGAGAGAGAGAGAGAGAGAGAGTCTTATCTCTTATTAACACAACTTAACAGGTCTGACGAACCTCCAAGGAGAAATATATTTTTAAGAATTTAAGACTGTCTGTGTGTGTGTGTGTTGTGAGAAAAGTTGGACACACATACACACACACACACACACACACACACACACACACACAACAAAATGTAATCCCTGGAAACATGGCCCATGACTCCCCATGATTCAGGCTTGACCGACCACAGCCCAGAAACTCGGGCTAGTCAGGGGGCTGTGGGCGGGCTGGGTGGACGAGGGGGAAGAAGAGGGTGGTAGGTGGTGGAGTTGGTGTGGCAGTGGGTGGTTTCAGCTGTCCGTGGGCGGGTGGGCGGGTAGGTGGGTGGACGGAGGGTGGTGGGCGACGATGGAGTAATCTGTGAGGCTTTGTTCTGTGATGGCTGGGTTGTAGCGGCCTCCTCCTCCTCCCCCCACCCACTTCACTGATTAATAACAGGACCTCCAGGACTGTGGCACTGATAGTTGGTGATATGTGGTGGTGAGTGGTGGTGGTGACGGTGGGTGGTGGTGAGTGGTGGTGGTGACGGTGGGTGGTGGTGAGTGGTGGTGGGTGCTGGTGGTGGTGGGTGATGGTGGCGAGTGGTAGTTGGTGGTGTTGTTGTGGCTGTTGGCGATAGTTGTCGTGTTGTTGTGGAGATGGTGTTGTGGTGGTGATGGTAGTGGTGTTGTTGTGGTGGTGATGGTAGTGGTGTTGTTGTAGTGGTGATGGTGGTAGTGCTTCCTCTTGTTGTGTTGTTGCTCTTCGCGGCTGCCACAAGACGGGCCAGTTGTCATGTCACTCTTTCCTTAGGATCTCAAAACTACTGTAGACGCCTCTGTTACAGCGGCCACGCGACGCGACACTACACGACGGGACGAGTCTTACTACTGTTACTAATTCCGACGCTGGACAGAGGCTGCTTCGTCGACCGGCTCTACCTTGAAACACTCCTGTCGATGCTGCTCCGTGATGCTGCACCGTGATGCTGTTCCAGGATGCTCCTTGCTACTGCTACTGGCTAATCTTGACGCTTCATTGAACATCCTTTTTTTTCTGGCAGTACACGGTCGCTGGCGGTGTTGCTGCTGCTCTAAAGTGAAAAAAAAAGAACAGTATCCGTTGCTCTAAATGCACATAAATTGTCAGTACAGCTGGTCGTCTCCTGCATGGATACTGACTACATCTGTTGCCTCCAGTCTCTGCCTGTGTTGCTATGGTGGAGGGTGGGAGTTGAGGGGGGGTGACTATTCATTACCAGCACGCGCTGTGTGTGTTGTGTAAACAAAACGAGGATAGACGCACTGCTACCGGCAACTGTCATTTGTTTTCAGTAATCACGGTCTCACGCGCATTAACATGTGTTGAATAATTATCATAGGCAGTGTCTTATACCGCTAAATTACCAATTATGGAATATTAATTAAGGCTCAGTATTGTCCCCTTCCCTCCCCCATCCCTCGATTTGAGTTCCTTGAGCTAATTAAACTGTTGAATGTGTTCGTTATGTTGTGTTTCCTCAGGTGAGTTGAATACTGAATGAACATGTAGAAAGACAAAAAAAAAAAATAAAAAAAAAATAAAAAAATAATTCGAATTTCATAAAAACTTCAAGAGTGAGATGAATATTTGGCTGCGATGTATTTTTTCCTCTCTTCTTTTTGAATCACAAGACTGCATGATTAAAAACCAATAAGTTCTCGTTTTTTCCTCCCCGCCAGCATGAAATTTTGCTTTACCTCGATGGTCTGACATTCACAGTTATCAAAAACATTTAGCGTTCTCTCTCTCTCTCTCTCTCAGATATTGCAAACGTTTGTCGCTTCTCTCTCTCTCTCTCTCTATACAACCCCAGTGTTGGAGCGTTTAATTAAACGTTTCAAGGACTCTCAGCCATCAAAAGGCAACTAAAGTTATCGGAAGACTTAATTGGATTTAGAAATAATTACTCTCGTGTAATTTGCTGAAGACTCCGTAGAATCACCAAATTAAATCACGACTGTACACCGAATCAAACAACCCGAGTTATATATACAAAGACAAAATCGAATATCAGGATCAAATTAAGAACGAATGAAGTAGATGGCACTTTCTGTTTTCTTTTCTAAGTTCACACGAAAATCTGATACATTGGATGCCGGGACGAGGTATAGGGAGAAGGGTAAGAGGAGAAGAGGGGAAGGTGTGTGATGAAATACAAACACGAAGGGAAGAGAAAGAGGAATAATGATTAATAGTGAAAATGAAATATACACAAAATACACCATGACTTATGAAACAATATCTAAATACTGTAGAATATAATATATACAGAATATCAAATCAGATCCCAACACAAACACAGAAAAAATAGTACACTTACGATCCCAGTATAAAGAATGTCAACAAATAAGTCAAATCAAGATCCAACACGAACACAAGAGAAACAACCATAATGATTTCCAAATAAAAATAATCAATAGAGAAGTCAAATCAAGATCCCAACACGAATAAAAGCTTCCTCTCAACAGTCAAATGAGAACTACAGAAAATATGGACAAATAAATATGACCACAACAAAATACCCAGAAAATATAGTCAAATCAAGGTCTCAACACACACAAAAATATTCTCCTTAAAAGTCAAATGAGAATATATAAAAATGGTTAAAAATATAGCACAATGAACAATGAAAAGAGATGAATTAAGAGTCAGACGAGAGCCATAATCACACAACGTAATCACTGTGTCAATTGAGATCCCAGTGCAAGATATACGGAGTTTATGGAGGGGAGTCATATGAGAACCCATTACAAACAAATTGATCGGTGGAAAATCACATAAAAGCTCAAGGATATAAAAACGAAGAAAAATGGGAACGAAAAACCTAGTGTAAAAAATAAACAGTCGAAAAAAGTCATATGAAAACCCACTGTAAAGAAGAATTCATATAAAACTCAATATTAACAACAACAGAAGCAGCAAGGTCAAATAAAAACCCCAAATACATAAAAAACTGTGACAGATTAAGAAAAAAAAAGAATATAAACAAAAGCAACCCTTGAAAAGTCAAACGAGAAACCAACATAAACAAAAGAACATCCCCATCAAGAGTCAAATGAGTGCCGTAATGGGAGAAAGAACAATCTCTCTCGCCGGTCGACTGTCACGGCCCGACACACACACAGTCATCGAGACAGTATTAAGGGGAACCGGAAGATTGTTATGATCCCCGGCTCTGTTTATTGGCACGCGTCCATACAAAGGAAGGGACTCATTCCGTCGGGCTCAAAGGGCTTTTAATTATGACGCTGACGACCCACGGACGACGGAGATGAACGGCAAAGAGGAACGACCTAGTCTTGGAAGCACGACCCTGCAGCTACTCCACGACGACAATAATTGGTTGAATGGATTCTCACCGGTGAAATTTATGGGCTGTGGTGGTGGTGGTGGTGGTGGTGGTGGTGGTGGTGGTGGTGATGTTGTTGTTGATGATGATGATGATGATGTTGATGGTGGTGGTGTTGATGGTGGTGTTAGTGGTGGTGGTGGTGGTGGTGGTGGTGGTGGTGGTGGTGGTGGTGGTGGTGGTGGTGGTGGTGGTGGTGGTGGTGATGTTGTTGTTGATGATGATGATGATGTTGATGGTGGTGTTGGTGGTGTTAGTGGTGATGGTGATGGTGGTGGTGGTGGTGGTGGTGGTGGTGGTGGTGGTGGTGGTGGTGGTGGTGGTGGTGGTGGTGGTGATGATGATGATGGTGGTGGGAGTGGTGGTGCTGATGGTGGTGCAAGTCCTGGGGATAACCCGCGTTGCTATCCTCCAGTAACGTTAAATATTCACCTTTCTATCTACACGCCGGGAGCCTCACCTCACTATACAGGATGATGAGCCGGGCACATCCTCAGCACATCCCTATACATTCTCATACACCCTCAACACATCCCTACATAGCCTAGTTACCCTAGTACAGCCCCCACATAGCCTAGCACATCACCCACATAGCCTAGCACATCCCCAAATAGCCTAGCACATTCCCACATAGCCTAGTACATCCCCACATAGCCTAGTACATCACCCACATAGCCTAGTACATCACCCACATAGCCTAGTACATCCCCAACATAGTCTCATACCCTAATATATCCCCACACACCCTAACACATCCTTACACACATTAATATATCCACACACACAATAGCCCCCACATAAACTCGTCACAACTCCCCCTCACACACACACACACACACACACACACACACACACACACACACACACACACACACACACACACACACGTTCACACACACACACACACACACACCACGATAGCCTCCCAAAGAGCGAATATAAACTTTAATATTCAAGTCTGATTAAAGCTTTAAGTTCCCCTCTTAAAGTTGGTTCAGATAGCATATTATATTAAACATACACCCAGCAGCAGCAGCAGCACTAGCCTCAGCACCAGCAGCAGCAGCAGCACTAGCCTCAGCACCAGCAGCAGCAGCAGCACTAGCCTCAGCACCAGCAGCACGCAACTAGCTAGCTGGCAATTCCATGTCTGCTATTTACCTCATTCTATGTGGCCATGTGACTGAGGAGAATCTCGGGGCATCATAACGCATACCCACGAGGGTTAAAAAGCTCTAGGAACCTATGCCTCACTGGTGGAATTTCCGCCCTTGGTGAACTGGTCCCCGTAGCCGCCAGATGACCAACACCCAAAACAATGGCGATATGAATAATGGGGGACGCAGAGAACAATAGCTCTTCTAGCGACTCGACAAAAAAAATGTCCACAATATTTAACTGACGTCGTAATTAACGCAGAAAAACACAAATGTGGATATTCACACAAGTACTCTGTTTTTTTCTCTCTCCTCTTGGCACACACAATTGACCAGTTATTTCACACAACATACTGTACGTGGGTCTGATGTTGAGAGTGGACAACAGGACATTATTCACTCGGTGTATAAAACTGTCCTTATTGGTTTGAACCATTAGTGCGGTGGACACTCTAATTACTAGATTAAAGTTCGATATTAGTGGATCCAAAGCATGATTCGTAGCTTAAACTCTTAACATCGTGATTTAATAAAGTGTGGTCGAAGTTCACACACCTGAATTCGTGACCTACACACACACACAAAAACTGGACACGGGACAAAGTTAAATTTCGTAGTTCAGTAAAAAGAAGATATATTGGTTACTAGACTATATTGGGATTTCATTGTAAAAAAAAAAGACAAAAAAAAAGACCGGACAGTATTATCATTTCATGGCTCACACTCCTCCCTTCCCCCTTAAAACACACACACACACACACACACTAACAGTAACCACGACACAACAACGTCACCACGACACAACAACGTCACCACGACACAACAACGTCACAAACAATAATCCAGATGATACAAAATGTTATATAATAATTCCAAGAGACAGATCTACATTATATATCGGGTGCCATCAAGAGGGCTCAGTCTCTCACTCACCTCAGCCGCGTCAATGGTGTTCTCATTATCCACTCTGTATCTGTATTTTTCTAGCTAAATAAACTGTTTGAATTTCAATATAATATCTAACATGTGTCAATTTCCTCACCAAGCATCCAAACTATGTGGGTAGTACGCCGAAGTAGGTCATCGACACGGTTTTGGAACTCTTGAGGGCTGGTGAGGGGTAGGTGAGAGGTGGGTGAGAGGTGGATGAAGGGTGGATGAGAGGTGGTGAGGATGGATGAGAGTTAGGTGAAGGGTGGGTGGGGGTAGGTGGGGAATGGGTGAGTTAAAGGGGATTGTTTTGATGGCGAGGTGTGTGTGTGTGTGTGTGTGTGTGTGTGTGTGTGTGTGTGTGTGTGTGTGTGTGTGTGTGTGTGTGTTGGCTTTGAGAAACAATTTGAAGTCTGGATTGAAGTCTGGAGAGTTGGAGTAAGTTTTGGAGTTTGTGTTGGAGTGTGTTTTGGAGGTGTGTTGGAGTGTGTTGGAGTAAATTTTGGAGCTTGTGTTGGAGTGTGTTTTGGAGGTGTGTTCGAGTGTATCCTAGAGCGTGTGTTGGAGTGTGTTTTGGAGTTTGTGTTGGAGTGTGTGTTGGAATGTGTTTTAAAG